GTCTTTATATATTCGCTTGCTTACTGTGTTGAACACTACACTTGCTCTTACACTTAGATTTTTCCTTATTAAATCACTTTATTGAAGAAATAGTCTTTAAAATATCAAAGGAGGTACTTTGCGAAAAGATTTTGTAAAACTCAATACACCCCCCTCTTGAGTATTGAAGCCACTTGTCCAACACATGTATATCCCTAGACGTATCTCACAATGTGAACTATCACAACCTCATCTCTTGGGATATGGCACAAGTGGAAAATTTTGTGTGTTCACATTCTCATACACGTATGACTTAAAGCATTCAAATAGTAAGGAGAGCAAGAAATTCAAGCACAATAACCATTGATACCTGATAAGTGTCCAAGACACTATGTTTTTAAGGTTAAATATAATTCAAATAATAATTAATATGATTAAAAATATAGTGTTAGTTAATAAAATCTAAAGATATTAAAATACCTACAACTGGATAAGATTGTAATCTAATTTCAGTTTGTTTCAGGTCTAAAATAACAAATTGCAATCAAGAAGGATAAAGACAGTTGCAAAGGATAAAGATCAAGAAAAATAAAGAATTAATCAAAATTAATCCTCAGCGACCCTGGTCCAAATTAAAAAGCCCATTTTTATTTTTATAAAAACGCACGTTAGGGCTCATTCCATTCATTCTTGGATTGGGGGAAAGACGAGGCAAAGGAGCGATTCAGAGAACGGAGGAACGGTCAAAGCTTTACCGTGGAGATCGGGTTTTATTTTTCCTTTTATGAATTTTAGTTTTTTTTCATCTATTGTTCTTGTTTTCCTGACTATGTCAGGCTAATTTTCTTTAATAGTTAGGGCGAGACGGAACCAATGGGTTCTTAAACGCTATTTGCTTTTCTTATTATTTATATTCTTGATTTAAGTTATGCAATCAATCTGCAATTTATTCCTAGTCTTATTTATGATCTGACCAATCTTGAATGAGCATTAGAGTCGTGCATGACAATAGGGATGTTGGTGTATGATTCTGATTGATTGATTGCCGGAATTTGTATGATCTAGGGATAGGCTTATAAATTTTATAACCGTAGGTTCTTGCGTTAATGCTTATTTTATGAAAAAGTACTAAGGGATTAGGCTTTTGATTAGAGTAAAGGATTAGATTACCAAGGGATTGAGATTTGATCAAATATAGAAAGAGCTGTTAATAACTTGATCCTGAATATAATCATAAGAATAAGTAGATTCGTTAGGAAACTATTGGGGAAGTTGAATCCTAGCTACACATTTTTATTAAAACTTAAACTCAATTTCTAGATTTATTAATTCTGAATTTAATTTCTAAAATATTAAAAACCAAAAATAATTTTATAAATTATTTTTAATTTAATTACAATATTCTCAAGACATCATTTTATGATCGATCCAACTTTAGTTGAATAGATAAATTATTGCTTGGTCATCCGTCCTCATGGAATCGACAACTTTTCTTATCACTTTATTACGACCGGTTCACTTGCCGAGTTCGTCAACAATACCATCCAAAAAACCACAACAAATCATAATGTCAATCCATCAATTCGAGTAAAACAGAATGCTATGCTATAGGGAAATATCCGGATATATCTTGAGGATAGAATCAAAACATATAAAATACTTGTTTCATGTGTATTTTACCATGTTCAGAGGCACTCGAGAAGCTCAAGGTAAAAGCACCGTAACACAAGAAGACAGAATTATATTTGACCCAAGGGGCTCAGCACATATAAGCAATTATTCATCCACAAGGAACTCTACCCACATAGCTCTCAAGAACCATATTACACTGCTTCAATTTAACATTACTAGAAAACCAAACATGCAAGGAATCAAACATGTTTCTCGAATTTACAGTAGAAGCAAGGAAGAAGTCCAAATAACTTCTACCCTTCTTAACAGCTCAAGCTTGGAGTCTCCAACTTGAGTTCCAATTGGTTAGAGTCTCAACTCCTCTTCCATTTGTTCTCTGCCTTCAAAACCAAATTTCACAACCAAAGTAAGAGTTTAAATTATTTCTTCCAGCCTTCAAAGAGCTCAACCCGCGACCAGGTTGAGAGTAAGAAATGTGGAACCCCTCTTTATAATCTCTACCGGTTTCTCCTTTTGTTCGGGTATTTCCCCCCTTTTTTATAAAAGAAACAACACCCTTAGATGAGAAGCTACTTGTCTCTTACTTACCAGAATTTGTAGAAAATTTTCTGGAAATAGAAAGAGTCCTATTTCGGATATGAAATTGGAGAGAATTGGGTGAGGAGTTCTAATGATGGTTTAGAAATACATCTTCATTCTGATGATAAGGGAAAAAGATGACTTTCAGAATGAGAGAATATAGATGTTTTCATTACTGGAATATCAGATAAAGTGAAAAAGTATCTTATGACTAATACATCAGCTTATTTATATAAGCTGCAGAAAACAGAGAGATAACCAAAAACTAAGCTAAGCTAATCTACTAACTAAACTTGACAGCTAAGCTAAACAGGTAACAAAATAACAAACTTACAACTAATTGGATAACCGTAAAACTGATTACAAACTAATTACAAAGAAATAATTTGATTTAAATAAATAGGTATAATAATGACACCTATAATGGTGTTCAGAGAGTTGGTGACGATGTACCTTGTTATGGTATGACCAAACCTATAGTTGAGGTTTTGCATCCTCCACATGCAACTCTAAAATTTAGATTCCATGGGTCAGAAGGTTTGGCCATGGAGTTAAGGTGTACTTTATCCTATCAAATTGTGTAAAAAAATTTAGGTGGTCCAGAAGTGATTCTTTTATCAAAGAAGTGACATCTGATTTTTTTTTTTTTTTCTTTCCTTAGTCTCTTCTATTTTTTTTTTCTCCCTCTTTTCTCCACTCCATCCAATGAAATGTGCTCCGTGAGCAATTAAATAAACCTCCAAATTATGGTCACTGACATACTTTTTAAATTTTTGTCTTGATCCGCAGCCCTTTCCGGATTTTTTTTTTTTGATCGTTAGAAGGCGTTTAGGACGAGTGATATTTTCTTTTATAATATGGTGAAAAATTATTTAGACATGAAAAATAACAAAAAATTATTTAGTATATCAAAATTTTATCAAAAAAATATGATTAATTTTAAGGATGATACTTTTGTTTTAAATTACCAATTTATCCATGATACCTATCCTTTTGTTTTCTTCTTTTCTATCCCCCAAAATACCAAAACTACTATAGAGGGTGTTTGTTTCAAGTTTTTGAAGAGTATTACCGGTAATCCTTCTTTGGTAAATGTAATTATCACGTTTGGTAGAAGGAATAAATTACGATTTTCGGATATCCAAGGATTACCGGTAATTTGATTTATAAAGAAAAGTCACTATTCAGATTACCAAAAATAATATGGTAATTCGGAATACCAATCAGAATACCAAGTAAAGAGAAAACACAACAATAAATTTTGAGACAAAAATATCCCAATACACATAAAAATCTAGACCCAATCTATCAATTACAAAAGTAAAAATAGTTTGGGGTTGTTTTTGTAAAATAACCTCATATTCCAAGTCATATTTAGTTCTAAACAAATATGAAATCAGTAATTTTTACCCAATATTTTCGGTAATATTTTGGCGAACCAAACACTTCTTTTGTAAAAGATTCTAAGTAAACTCAATTTCTACTGTATTCCAATTAATCATGGTTCCCGGTCACCAAAAAATTTCTCTCGTACCAAACACACCGCTACCATTTTCACCACCGAAAGTCACCATTTTTTTTTTTGTGGGTAAGAAGTATCTGTCATTTTCTTTCTGGGGTTGGGCAAAAAAAAGAAAAGAAAGAGAAATGACATATTGGGAACTACTGTTAATCGGTGTGGTGTTAATCATGCTGCTCCAACCGGGGTTGCTGTTTTCCTTTCCGGGGAGTTCAGTGGCATGAAGACAAGACCAACGAAAAAGCTATATTCATTTACACACATATCTTTTTCGCTCTCTATGCCATACTTATCTTGGCCATTCAAGTTCACATCTACACCGGCTGGAATGGTTGCCCAAATCTGGCCTTTTGTCTTTTCCTTTGTCGTTCCAAGATATTTTATCATGAGATGAAACTCACCATTGTTGTAACTTGTAACTGGTTGTCCTTTTGTCCTTGTCGACGGATATTGCATTTTTACAAGACGCGATCTTAACATCACGAGCGCATTATGGTCTGAATTCATTACAATCAGAATGGGAGTACTTGGGGGAAAAAATACCATAGGCTTGGGGGGATTGTTTTCTTCCGCTGTTAGTTCAAATGGGGATTGACAGGAGAATTTTTTTCATGGAATAAATCACAATAGCTTATATCAAACACGGACACAAAACATTCCCATCTCACTTCCCCATCATTCTAAACAAAATCTCCATAACAAACGCCTCTTTAGCTTATTAAAATTCTGAAACAGCCTCTTGATTTTTTTTTATTAGTACGGGTGTTACAATTTGTGCAACATAGAAAAAAAAAAAAATTAAATAATTGAAATTTGAATTTTAGATAAAACAAATTGTGAAAAATTTATTAATGTTAAATTGATTATAAAAAAAGTTTATATGACTAGGAAGTCACATGTTTGCAAATATAATGTAAGATTATTTATGTGGGGTGCACATTTTCGCATAAAAAAACTACTTCTATTTCAGGAAGAAAAAATAAACAATAAATCTTTAAATTTGCTATGGGAAAAAAAAGAGAGACAGAAGAGATAATTTAGTCTGTTATCAAAATAAGATAATACCATATAACAAACCAAAGCCTTATGTTCATGGTGGCATATTGAAGGATCAATACAAACAATCTTTGATGATCTATCTCCCAATAAGTTTTGTGAAGATTCAAAAATGTGTCAAATGTCTTCCTTTGTGCTTTGCGAAAAGAAAAAATAAATAAAATAAAAGAGTTTTCATTGTTCTGTATTTATGCACTCAGCAAACTATAGTTCAGGTAACTGATCATCATTCAGCTCAAGGCAACACTATGTTTAAGTTCCACATCTTCCTCTTATAAGCTATAACCTGAAAATAACACACAAGTGAAAGAGAAACAAATATTAGCACCATTGGCGCACCTACATGGTTGCCTATGTAAGACATAAAAAAAAAAAATCGTTTGAAATAGTTTGAAGAGTAAAATACATTTTGGGTCCTCAACAAATGTTACGTGGCCATTTTAATCTTTTAAAAAAAAGTTAATTTGTGATTCCTCTGAAATTCAAAATATACATATGTTCTTTTTTTTGAGAGACTAACGTGATTAAATTGGGCCCCGTGATATTTGATGAGGACCCAAAAGGTATTTTACTCTAGCTTGAAACAACATTTTAAAAAATGAGATATTCGTGAAATAACTTGAAATAGCAAAGCTTGATATATGCGAGTAGTTTTTTTTATATTCTTTTATTTTTTTAATGCATTTAAAATTTCTTTTAAAAAAAAATTTCGAGGGCAGCGGAACTCTCGCCACTAAGTGTGCAGAGATAAATATAATTTTCTGGATCCGCCACTGATTAGCACAGTAACAATGGTCAAAGGTAATATATAGTAGGCACATTTTTAGATATAAGTGTGACATGAGAGAACAATCTCATGTAACATGAGAATATGATTTTCACACACACACATATATATGTATAAGGGAAGATGATCATTTGATATCGATATCAAACTAAAAAGTTTGACACCAAATCTTAACTATTGATTTTGTGAATCTAACGATTATAATTTATTAAGTCACAGTATTAATTAATTATTAAATTATCAATATATTCTAATTAATATACATATGGATTTTATAATAGTTATGTTGTAGGAAAAGTGATTGTGTTATGTTATAGAGATTCGTTTTGCGTGCCGAAGTTTTTTTTTTTTTTTTTGCTGCGGGCCCCACAAAATGTTGTATGTGTAGGAAACTTTTTGTGGTCATGTTAAATGATAGATGATAAACCCTATATATATATATATATATTATTGAAAGTGTAAAAATTAATTACCAGGTAGCCACGGCTGAAATTATCTACTTTGAGTTCACCCAAAGTTTCTTCCTCATTTACGAGAAATTGAGATTTATTATTGTGTGAATCAAGCTTGCCTTCATCTCTTATAATGTTTGCTTGACACTCATTTACCAAGTACAATTCAACTTCTTCAGTCTGCAGTGAGGTTTGATATGCAACATACTGTATATAGCAAAAGAATATTAGAATCAAGAAGAGATAATAAAATGAAATAACGTCTCATAAATCTGGGAAGAGAACAACCTGGCACAGTTGCTTGATTGACAGTGTAGGCCTGCAACTAAGGTATGGCCTTTGCAAATTTGGGACTCTTTTCTCTTCAAAAGAGACAAGCTTGATAAAGATGTCCAACTAAAATAATGTAGATCAAATCACTTATCATATCATTGTTGCAATATAAATACTCAAGCAGAGATTGATAATCTAAAAAGAATAATCAATGCTAAAGGAAGAACTTTTGTTGCAATCAGGTGGGAAAATAGAGAATAAGTGGAAGATAATTAGACACCGTAACAATATTCTTTGACCTACAGTGAAATACAGGAGGCTTACATCCAGAAATAAAACAAAGAAAATTTACCATGATCAACGAAGATTTTAAGGAGAAATTACCTGAACACTCAAACCCTAATCTAAATACAACCGAATGGTGACTATAGGCTTTACTCCTACATTTATATAGATTTAACCTCATTTTCATCCGAATAATTAGATGACCGTTTGATTATATATGGAGAAAGAATTGATAGTAATAGTTATGAGAAGTCTTTAAAAAATGAAATTGCTTTAAAAAGTTTGTAAATTTATCTTACATTGTTTTTTTTTTTTTTTATGCAAACATATAGGGTATAAATACCCTAGGCGGCATATTATATGATTTATTTTGTTTTGGTAAATGCATATTATATGATTTTACCTAAGTTAGACCTGAGCCGATTTAGTATATTTAAAATAGATAAGATTCAGACTTAAAAAAAAGTTTATATAATTGTATTACTTACCTATTTAATCTTTATATCCTTACTATCTTTTCAACACCGTTAGATTGAATTCAGATCAATGATTGTAAAGAAAGAGAAATTAATTGTGAAAAATATGAGGCAGAGATTTGAGACCGTTGATTTAAATTTAATCTAGTGGTAATAAAATTAAAATAATGGTAGAAAGATTAAATAGATAGGCAATATACCCATTCCTTAAAAACTTAGGCTATAAGCTTACTTAAATCATATTATGTATTGGTATGTGTAAAATGTCAGATAGCGTAAATAAGCTAATAGGTTACACCAAACATCTTATTTTTTAAAATAAGTCAAACTAATCCTATAATTTAACCTGCACCAAATTAATAACGTTGTGTATTTAGCCCATCTACAATACCCAAATTTTCGAAGGGCTCATTGAAACAAGGTTTATTGGCAACTTGAGAGTCACGCAGGTCTGAAAATATAAATTACCTCATCATCATTTTGTTCTGAGCTGCAGAGATGATCAATTAATTTAGAGAGGCGTTTGTTTCTGGCTGCAGCAGCATTATTCTTACCATTGGCTCGGATGTTACTCCTTTGGCCATTTTTTCCCCACACAAGTGTAGAAGATGAGCTAATGATATCTTTAATCTTCTGATCAGAATCAGCAACATTTTCTTGACTATCTCCATCTGCAACTACAACATCAGTACTTTCTACATTTTGAGGAACATGTTCATCTTCTCCACTTTCTGGTATTGTTTCTGACTCATCAACAATAGGACACAAGACCCTTGTCTCATCATTCTCATTCCCAGTACTGGGTCCGGGAATTTCAACTGCATGTCCGAAATTTCTTCTTCTCTTCCTCAGATTTGAACTTCTTAAGTTACGTTTTGCCTTCTTCACAATGGCTGCACTAGGACGTTTCTTTCCCAGTGCTTCTGTTTGTCGTTGAAGAGTCTTATTATAGGCTTTTTGCATAGTCTTATAAAAGACAAAAACCGCCTCGAATTATTAGTATTACAAGCATAGGTAAAAATTCTTGCAGTTAAAATAATAAAAAGTTGTTTATATTATATATTGATAATTCTATTCACACACTAAATCAATGTTTAATTGATTACAATTTACAACAATGGTTATTGCCCATTTTATAGAGCTGCTTATTCAAAATAATGCAGTGAATCCATATCAATGATCCTTTGTACTATCCTAATGAATGTATAGGAGTTGTAATATACAAGAAATGCTTCCTTATGATAATCCTAGCATGTGGTGCAACGGAAGCCCTTCTAAGGAACTGAATGAACATGTGGGAATGTATACTCTAACTAAAGGATTTTCCAATATAAGTTTGAGTTGTGGAATCAGTCTCTTGCAAACATAATATAAGGTTGTCTATAATAGAAGCACACAGTGGATCCTACCTTGACCCTATCTATAGTGGGAACTTTATAGAACTCGGTTCTCTTTATATATATATATATATATATATATATATATATATATATATATATATATATATATATATATATATATATATATACATAGTCAACAGATCACTGTTTAGGTGAAAAATAAGACAAGTTTGGCTATCTACACATTAGTCTTAACTCCCTGGTGGTGTTTGGGAATTTAATTTTTTATCATACAATCGGATACTTAAGGAATATTTACCGGAGAAGTTACGAAAATCCTAAGCCACGTCTAATTGTGAGGGTTTACTAGATAAGTTACAAAAGTCACTAGGATTGGTCTAATTGTGAGGGTTTGTATAATTTGTATTAGGTTATGTGTTCAATTCTCATCGTTGTATCAAAAACAAAAAAGAGAAGTTATGAAAATCTAAATTCAGAAAAGAATATTGAAGAGTTAAATCGAACCTGCAGACTCTCAGTCAAGTCCTCACGGATAGACAATTCCTGGTCGAGATCATTGTTAATGAACTATTTTCCATTCAGATAAATTAAGACAAACTTTAATATATATATATATATATATATATATATATATTATTATTATTACCTCTTGCTCGTACTTTTCAATATCTGGATAGAGAATAGCAATCAAGGCATCAAAGTTAGGGTCATCCCTCAGTGAGCGCCTGCTTGAACAATGTGTGCGGCAAGCAGGGCATTCATTGTTACTGCAGTAAAACCAGTCAATACTATTCAGAAACAAAAAAAAAATGGAAAAGATTCCAAAAAATAAACTATCATCATGTAGAATCACTCAGATACAGAACCAATAAATAAAAGAACTATTCAACAATGTCGTGAGAACTTGTGGAGAAGGAGAACAATCTTCTATCAAAAAATTTACTAAACTTTGTTGCTTCTCAATTATCTGCATTTCTCAAACAAAAAAACCTAATACTAGACTATTTATAGGCTATAATTTTCCTTTCTAAAACTACAACACTAAATAGCCATAAACCGCAATTAGAACCAAACTTAATAGCAAAAACTAACGACTGACTCTTGACCTTTCAAAACTCCTAAAATAAAAGCTAACCTCATGACTCATAAACTATTCATAATTGACAAATTTAAACCCATTAAAATATAGCATTTAATGTTTACTTAACAAAACTCCCCCGTAAACTTAAATGCTTCTCCCATCCTTCATGCCGATCAATTTCTTGCACTTGTCGAGAAGTATCGTCGGTAGCGGTTTTGTGAAGATATCCGCGACTTGGTCCCGACTTGCCACATGCACTAATTCCACACTTCCTTCCTTCACATGATCTCGAATGAAGTGAAAACGAACGTCGATATGTTTGCTTCTCTCATAATTCACCGTGTTCTTTGCCAACTCAATTGCTGATTTATTGTCAACTCATATCACAGTTGCACCGAGTTGTTGTTGCCCCAACTTGCCCAACAGATTTCTGAGCCGTATCGCATGATATACACACCAAGACGCTGACACATATTCAGCTTCAGATGTAGAGAGCATCACAATCGGTTGCTTCTTTGAAACCAAGTAAATGCTGTGTTACCCATAAAGAACACATATCCCGACGTGCTTTTTCGATCATCTATGTCTCCACAATAATCACTGTTAGAGTACCCAATCAACTTATAATCATCAGTCCTCGAGTAGTGTAACCTGAGTGACGCCGTAATGTGAATAGACCAGCTCCTCCATGAACCAACTTACAATGCCAACACTTAACAAGAGATCCGGCCTTGTGCATGTGAGATAGCGAAGACTTCCCACCAAACTTCGGTATTTGCTTGCATCGACTCCTTCTCCTCCATCAAACTTTGAGATTTTTGCACCAGGTTCCATCGGAGTTGAAACCAGGTTGCAACTTTCCATTTTGAACTTCTTCAAAATCTCCTTTGCATATGCCTCCTGTGACACAAAGATACCCGACTCACCTTGTTTTACCTCCAGTCCAAGGAAAAACTTCATCAAACCGAGATCCGTCATCTCGAACTCCTTTGCCATTGTGCTCTTAAACTCTTGTATCAAATCTTCGTTGTTCCCCATAAAGATGAGGTCATCGACATAAACAGCCATAAATAACATATTAGCTCCACTCTTCTTCACATAGAGAGCATGTTTATAGGGACATTGCTGGAACCCGTTCTCCTTGAAGTAAGTATCAATACGAGTATTCCACGCTCGCGGTGCTTGCTTCAACCCGTAAAGTTCCTACTTCAATCTTAGCACCTTCTTCTCTTCTCCGACCTTCATGTACCCCGATGGTTGTTCGAGATAGACTTCTTCTTCGAGCTCACCATTCAAGAATGCTGACTTGACATCCATTTGAAATATCAGCCATTTGAATTGTACCGCTTGTGAAATAAGTAATCGAATTGTCTCCATTCTTGCAACAGGAGCAAACACCTCGTCATAGTCAATTCTCGCCTTTTGCTTGTATCCTTTTGCAACAAGTCACGCCTTGTACCGTTCTATCTCCCCTCGAGCATTCATCTTTTTCTTAAACACCCACTTCACACCAATGGGTTGACTTCCGTTCGGCAATTCTGCTAACTCCCATGTGTTGTTGCGGTCAATTCCTTTAATCTCCTCATCCATGGCATTTTTCCACTTCTTATCTCGCATCGCCTCTTCAAAACTTATGTCCTCAGAATCTGCCAAAAAACAAACAAGGTATACCTCACTTGTCGAATCATACAGGTCTTGCAAACTTCGCATTCTTGGTTGTTGTGGTTCATCTTTATCATCAGAAATTTCAGAACTTGCCGGAATGGCTATTGGTGTTGCGCTTGATGATTCTCCGACTTCGAAGGTAACCCGAGATGATTTGTTCCAATCCCATTCATTTACTTCATTAACTCGTACATCTCGGCTCACCATGACCTTCTTGCTGACGGGGTCAAGTAGCTTGTATCCTTTTATCTTCTCATCATACCCAACGAAAACATACTTCTTACTTTTATCTCCGAGCTTGGTTATTTGCTGATCTGGTACGTGTGCATAAGCCACACTGCCAAATAATCTAAGATGAGTGACTGTTGGCTTTTGTCCGCTCCATGCCTCTTGTGGTGTTTTATCATTTAGGCTCGAATGTGGACACCGGTTTTGCACATATACAGCACATTGCACGACTTCTGCCTAAAACTCTTTTAGCATCTTGTTGTTCTTAAGCATTGACCGAACCATGTCAAGAATAGTCCGATTATTCCTTTCAGTCACACCATTCTATTGTGGTGTGTACGGTGCTGTTAGAAACCGCCTTTTGTCGTGCTCCTCACAAACTCCATGAAAGCCGTCGAGGTGTACTCCTCACCTCGGTCAGAACGTACCGACTTGATGTGTCTATCAGTTGCATTTTCAACCATCACTTTGAACTTTTTAAACACCTCAGACTTTTCCTTCAAAAAATAAACCCAAGTTTTCCGTGAAAAATCATCAATACACGAAATAAAATACCTTTTCTTGCTAAAGGATTCGGGGGTGATTGGTCCACATAGATCAGTATGAATCAACTCTAGAGGTTGCTTAGCCCGGTATCCTACCATCTTTTGAAACGAGGTTCTTGCATGTTTGCCTAATACACATTCTTCACAAAATTTTCCTTCATAGTTTATATCTGGTAACCCGTCCACCATGTTCTTTTTTGCTTACTCGGTTAGACCGCCATAATGTAGGTGACAAAAATGGAGATGCCAAAGCGACGCCTTGTCTACTACGTCGGCTTGCAAACATTCAACCTGCAGACTTCTCAAATTCACCTTGTACATTCGGTTTCTCCCCATTTCAACTCGGGCCACCAACCGACCTCGCTCATCTTTCAAGTGCAGTACCCGATCTTTCATGAGTACCGAGTAGACTTTCTCCATCAGTTGTCTCATACTCAAAATGTTGCTCTTGAGATTAGGTACATAATACACATCTCGAATTGATCCAATTAACCCGTCCTTTTGCAAATAGCAAACCCGTACCTCGGCCTTTGATCTCTACCTCCGACGTATCTCCAAATGAGACATGTTCAGTTTGCACCTTTCGCAAATCTTTAAATAGGTGCTTATGTTCGCTCATATGTTGCTTGCACCCGTGTCGAGATACCACTTCGTCTTGTTGTCGGAGTTGACTTCATTGTGTGCCATCAAAAGAACACCTCCTTCTTTCGTTTATCCTTCCATGGCTAGGTTGGAAGTCTCTTCCACCTTTTTCTCATCTCAGCAATCTCTTGCGAAATGTTCGATCTTGCCACAATCGTAACATTTATCCGAGTTGCAATCTTTTGCATAGTGACCATACTTGCCACACTTGTAGGACTCAATGTTGGAGTAATATGACTGACCTCCTCTTCCACGACCTCATCCTCTTCCACGCCAGTTCTGTTGGCTTAACTGTCCTTTCTCCTCACTCTGCTCTTCTTGACCACAACCTCTACCACCACGGCCATTTCCACGTCCCCCACGGTCACGACTTCTACCTCGAAAATTTTGAGAATAGAGGGCCTTCTCGTCTTTGATTGATGCCTTGGTTTGAAGCGCTTGCTCAAGTGTCTCCTCCTCTTTCTTCTTCTTACGTTGTCCATGTGCCTCAAGGGATCCAGCGACCTCTTCAACAGTGAGCGTTGCTAGATCTTTTGATTCTTCTATGGCACATACGATATTCTCAAAATTGTCGGTTAAAGACCTCAAGATCTTTTCCACCACTCTCGCATCGGGCAACGCTTTTCCATTCCTGTTTAACTGGTTCACCACGGTTTGAATACGCGTGATGAAGTTGGACACACCTTTCGTCTCCTTCATCTTCATTCCTTCCAACTTGCCGCGAAGAGTTTGAAGTTGGACTTGCTTAACACGGTCAGCTCCTTTGTAGACATTTGCCAAAATGTCCCACACTGTTTTTGAAGTTGTAGCACTCGCAATCTTCTCAAAGCTTAACTCGTCAACAGCTCAGAACAGCATGTACAATGCTGCCTTGTCTTTGATCGCGTCTCTTTAAACGCCTTGTATTGAGCTGCCGTATAACCTGCGGTAGATTACGCTTCTGTGAAACCATCTTGAACTACCTCCCAACTATCTTGGGATCCAAGAAGAGCTTTCATTTGGATACTCCAATTCTCGTAGTTTACCTTCGTTAGACGGGGCAACGACACATTACTGGTCACAACCTCCATTGCCTCTGATACCAATTTGTAGAATAGCTCAAATACAGAACCAACAAATAAAACAACTATTCAACAATGTCAGGAGGACTTGTGGAGAAAGAGAACAATCTTCTATAAAAAAATTTACTAAACTTCGTTGCTTCTTAATTCTGTGCATTTCTCAAACAATATACTAGACTATTTATAGGCTATAGTTTGCCTTTCCAAAACTGCAACACTAAATAGCCATAAACCACAATTTAAACCAAACTTAATAAAAGAAATAACGACTGACTCTTAACCTTTCAAAACTCCTAAAATAAAATGCTAACCTCATGACTCATAAACTATCCATAACTGACAAATTTAAACCTATTAAAATAGCATTTAACGTTTACTTAACACATCATCCCAATTATAAATGAAAAAATGGTGGTAGTTTTAGGATAAACCCAAGGCGCATGGATTTCTCTATGCAGTCTCTGCAGAAGCGATGCATGCATTCCATTACAGCTTTTGTCTTCCGAATGATGCCTACACATACAACACAATGAATCATTTTTCTATGTATATAATTTGGTTTTCAAGAAATCAAAATAATAAAAAAAATAAGTAGTTGCATCCTGCATATATGGTAGGATGTCGTTTGAAAGTTCATTCATGCAGAGATATATATGACAGAAAAATCAATACAATTCAAATGGCGAAAAGTTATGTATATGAAATCAGTTGTTGATTTATGGGTTGTCTATATTAGTGTATTAATTTTCAAAGTTTTTTGGTTTCTTCTAAGCGTTTTAATTCTTCTCCTTCCGTGCATATTTTTAGTAGGGAATAAAATACTTAAACTCAATTCATTTACCCATATACAGGTACCTACCTATCCATTTCTACATTTAAGAACTCGTAGTTTCAAGAAGTAATATTGTCAAAGTGTTCCATGCTTGTGCTGAACATGTGCATAAATATTTTTCGATGAAGTTCAATGTATTAGATGAGTTCAGAGCAATCTTGTGAACCTGTAAATATCCTTGTAATGTGTTGCACAAACTACACCAATAAATAAAATTAGAGTTACATGTGATTGTTCTCCCTTTTTTTTACCATACAACCTCCTTTATCTAGGTCATAGTGGCACCAAGAGCCTACTAATCATTTGAAGATGACCCCCTCCTCTCATGCGGTTTCCAAACTCCAAAAAAATGTTCAAGATTCATGGTTTGTAATTCAAGTGCTCAAATGCTATGTATATGAGATGTATGACATGTTTTCTTAGAATTCATGTATGAGAATGTATATGATGCATATTTGATGGCTTGATGAAAAACTTTATGATTCAATGAATGGAAATTACATCTTATGTTAATGGATAATTAGATGAATGTGCATTGCATGAGAAATGGTTTATTAGGTTGTAAATGAACCTTGGAGGCATTCCAAGTTAGCCAACTACAACAAGGAGCTGTAAATTTTGTATTATGGACTTGTTTGTTGGCTTTGTAGATAGCATTGCAGTTAGCAAAATAGGGAAAAAAAAGGTCATTCTCTGAACTTGCTCTCTAGAACAAGCAGAACTGGGAAAAGTCATTCTCCGGACTTGCTCGCTGGTTCTTCTTACTATAGAGAGAATAATAGTGAGTGGAGTCGGGAAAACCACCTGTTCTGGACTTACTCGCTAGATATGCTTGTTATAGCGAGCAAAGACATAGCACAGTGGAACATGCATATCTTGAACTAGAGAGCTCCAGATTGAGTAAGACTTGAACTTGTATAAAGATAACTCAAAGATCTATAACTATGTAAAATCTTAGGACATTTGGATTAATGAATTAAATAAGTGAGTATATGAACTATTCAGAGTATGAATGAGTTAATTCAAGTTTAATACCATGTTTAACAAAGGAAAAAGTTAACTACACTTTTTATATAAGAATAAATGGTTAAGTCACAAGTGTAAGTGACATAGTAAATGAATCTTCTTAATATTTTCTTAATTATTCTTGTTGTGCTTAATACCATCATTAGTTAATACACCGGATGCACACAGGGTGTTACAGTAAGAGCTCGATCTAAAACGATATACATGAGACTACCTATTGCCAAAGCATAAGGTATCATACACATGCTCTCTTTATGCTCATGAGCTCTTTTTCTCCAAATGTAATACTTGTGGGTGGATCGGACTAAATCTGATCTATATCCACTAAATGACATACTCAAGTGATTTTCTTTTTCTAAGGGATGATATTGACATGACAAAATCTTATCTATATTATTATGTCATTTACACAAAATCATCAAAACCTTTATAGTTTAAGAACTTACAAAATCTTTTATAATAAGATGGCATACCCTATTAGATACACTAAACAGAACATATTAGTCAAGTTCTGAGTAGTTCCTTACTTGCTCCATTCTCAACGATAGGAATATCTTAAAAAAAAAATATTTCATCACAATTTACATGGCAAGTAAATAGTATAATGAACTAAATGTTTCTTTTTTTACTTTCTAAGTGGAAATATTCTCACTAAAAACTTCGATTTATTTGGAACAGTAACAAACTTTTGATAAAAAATGTTCTATATTCCTTGAAGCAATCAACAGTAGTTAAAAATTAAAAGGCATAATATTTAGACATCATATAATTTATCTGAAAATAATACATATACGTACCTAGGCAAATAGGGCATTGAACATCCTTACGTATAATTGTCAAATCTACAACAAGATACCTGTAAATAAAGGTATTATGAAAATTTACAAATTTAAAATCGAAGGGGATGGATCCATGATTGCTAAACTCAAGAGTTTTTATAACCAATGTATTTTTGTTAACTTGTATCAAATACAAAAACAAGATGTAAAAATTATCTTTGGTGCATCATTGCTAAATAGAAAAATTTCATGTTATCTTTTTAAGTAAATGTATTACTCCAAGACAACGAAAACATGATAACGGTAATAAAATATTCCTTCAATAAATATTCAAGCTAATGGAGGTGTGGGACTCACTGGTTGGTGGTGATGGAGGATAAAGAGAGAAAGAGTTGGGGTGCGTGATCAAGACAATATGAAATCAAGGAGATGATGTGGATCTTAAACATTCAAAGTTGATATCTTTATAGATGTCACATCAATATCGATTTGATGATAACAAACAAACTTGGAGAAGGTGACTCAAGAACTAATTAACAAGCAACAATAAAAAAACTCCAAATGTCTGTCAAAACGATGCAATTTCAAGTGCTTAAGTGTCAAGATTAGGAATCAAGCCTTAAAGCATGAAGTTAAGTCCAAAATCACATTAGAATATATTTTTAGGGCTTGGAACATGTATGTAAGGATGTATAGTAGATAAAGAATGAGCTCAAGTCATTCTCATCAGTTCATAATCAAAAAGTGCTTAAAAATATTGGTTTAATAGGTAAAAATTGCATGAGAAGGTTTTAACATAGTTTGAGCACTCAAGCATGCTTGCATAGCCTAAATATACATGTTCACATTCTTGAAACTCACTTTGAATTTATAACGAATACGTTTTTTACACTAAATGTTGAAAAAGAACTTAGTTCATTAGTTTAATGTGTCAAACTTGGATCAAGATGGTTTTCGCACGCAAAGTAAGATGCTGCAATCAAATATCCGAATATAGAATTCTAAATATCTGGAAATTAGACCGTTACAAATTTACATTCTAAACCCAGCTCACGAACCGCTTTAATGGGCGAACATCCCTCAACATATATTTGGATATGGCTTGTCCATAATAATTTCCAATGGCTATAAATGACTATTTTTTTGTTGTAAACCTATATAAACTGAATCATAATGACTATATTAGGTCTAGAACAAAATGATATCATATATTGAGTCATTGTTACTTCTCCTAACACATTCTTCCTCATTGATTGCATCCTTTCTTGACCATTATATACTTGAGGTCATTCTTATTCTTTAGTCTAGACACCTGCTAGACTTCAATTTGTATTATTTGTACTTTAAGAGTGCTTAACTTGTCTGAAACACATTTTTTCTTGAGTGATTATTGATTAAGGGTATTGAGACCCTAGTATTGAAAAGGTAGCTCATTGACTAAGAAATTGGGTAGAATTATAAGGTGTCCAAGAACCATAATCTTGGTGTGATTGTAGTGGTATGTTCAAACACCCTTGAAGCTTGACTAATAGTGGAACAATCGTTGTGGCGATTGAAGGCTGGGCATAGGTCACAATGGTTGTGATCAAACCAAGATAAACTGAGTTTGCATTTTCTTTGAATTTATCTTCTTTACTTAAGCATTATTAGTGTACTTGACATATTTAGCTTCAAACATGTTTATCATAATTTGTTTGTCTAAATTATTATCCATTACCTTTTCCTTGTCCATAATCATAATATCTCAAGAAATTATTTCTAAAAAGAAAGTGAGACATTTTGCAAAAAAAATTAAAACTCAATTCACCCCTTCCTCCTGTGTTTTGAGGTCATTTGTCCAACTGACCCAACCTAAAGGAAAAATCTTGCATGAAACCCAATTATATCTCAATGAACCAGCTCTAACCAAGCACTTTTTTGAGAATTTCAAGTGATCCAGAAGTTTTATTTTTTAAAAAAATATTGGTAAAGCTTGAAGAGATATAAAAAATTGGGGTTGGAAGAGTACTGTGGTGTAACATGTTAGAAAATTTTATGTTCTATATCATTGCGGGCTTCATATTTAATTATCAATTATATATCATGTTATTTGATTATTGGGCAAATTAAGTGATTTATTAAGGAACCCAGTTAGATTTCACAATGAGTATGGGTTAAATGAATGGATATCTACATTGGCCCAACATGATGAGCTCAATGATAAGGAATGAGAAAAAGGTTATGGTCCCCAATATATCAAATTTGTTTTCTTTTCTCATTAAAAGATAACTTTAGCAGAAAGATTTGTCCTCTGGTGATTTAACTGAGGAAGATCATCAATCCCAAAATGAAATGCATCAAGAAACCACAATTATTGTGATGGAATCATGTACGTTTTAATTCCTTTAGTTTCCTCGATGCTTCAATATGATGTATCCAAAGATTTATGGTGATGTTTTTCACCATGGGATAGTAGGAAGAATACCAGCATAACAATCATCAATATAACAAGATGAATAAAACCTAGTTGTCACTTTTGCAATCTTAATTAGAGAATTGTGAAAGAGATAGATAATTTTGTTCTTTTTCTATTACATGTTCATCCCGCCTCAATGAAACTTTGAACAACCAAAAGAACAACCAAGAGTGGAGCAATTTCAACGAGTGCTCAGCCAAAAACAAGGACAAATGTCTTCGTGAAACATATATAAGGAATTGAAAAGAAAAAACAAATAGTTAAAAAATGCATTGTATTTTGGGAAACAAAAAGAAAAAAGAAAAAAAAAATATGCTTTAGTTCGACCGAAATACCATGACTTGATAAATGTTGAATCAATCTAATTAAATGATTCTAAGAGTTAGCTATAGCTAACCTTATTTTCCTTCCAAAAATATTTTTCATATCTTATCATTATCTTGTGTAAGATCTTTGCTTATATATAAACGCTTTAGCCTAATTCCGATTGAGCTATAGTAACCTTTATTCAAAATGTCATTACAAAATACTCTAACAATAATCAAAATAAACTCTTAAAGTTTTATGAGTAAAGGTATGTTTAACATATAAATAAAAAAAACTCAGTAACTACATTTCTTTCCTTTCAACACCTAATTGTTACCCCAACTATAATATTGGAGAAATACTCTTTCAAACATGGCCTTGGGGTGGACTCTGTCAAACTTAGCTAGTAGAGCTTTAGGAGCGGGCCTTTATCAGACATTTTAAGTTCCCTTACCCGTTTTCTAATGGTTTTTTGTTTTGGGAACTCAGTTCCCTCAACTCGGCTCAGAAGCCTTTTGTGGAAGTCAATCAACAAGATCCTAGATCTCAGATCTCGGCAATCTGAACTTGGCCTGAACTTTACCAGGTCGGGCAACGCAGCGGAAAAACAAAAAATACAAAGGAGAGAGGGAGAAAGAGAACACAAGTAGATTTTAACATGGGAAAATCTTCTCCAATGAAGAAGTAAAAATCCACGGGACCTATTCCAGTTCAAACATCCACTATAATGATAATGAGTACAAAGAATCAAGATTCACCAAAGTGGTAGTTAACATAACCTCTCAACCAATGGTGATAATCAAACTTGCCTAGAGATGTTATACTCAAAACTCTCTCTAGATGTCTCTCGAATATAAAGAACTTTGCTCACAAATCTCTCAATAATGGGCTTGGGCTTAGCATTGAAGGAGGAAGCCCAACAAATCTCCCCCTCCGACTTTAATGTGTCGGCTTCATCATCAACCCAGCTCCTTCACAGCAGTCTTCAAATTTTCTTGTTGGAACCAACTTCATCATCATGTCGGACCAATTTTGGTCAGTGTGTACTTTGGCGAGTTCGAGCTCTCCATCTTCCACCACATTCCGGATCCAATAATACCTCACATCAATGTGTTTAGCGCGAGAGTGATAGGTCAAATTATTTGCTTGTCTTGATCATAGCCGAGTTCAGAGAGGAACTTCTTCATCCACAATATTTCTTTGCTTGCCCCTGTCCCAGCTATGTACTCGGCCTCGGTCGTCGGAAGTGCATCACACTTCTGAAGTCTTGATTGCCAAGAGATAGTTTGTCCTACAAAAGTCATCAAGTATCCTGTAGTCGACTTCCTTGAGTTGGCGTCTCCCCCTAAATCAGCATCCAAGTAGCCTTGCAACTCGGTTTTGCCTTCTCCAAATCAGAGGCATAAGTTGGTTGTACCTCGAAGGTACTTGAAGATTCACTTAACTGCTTCCCAGTGCTCTTTGCCGAGGTTTGACAGATACTGGATCACCATTCCAACAGCATATGCCAAGTCAGATCTACTGCAAATCATTACATACATCAAGCTTCCGACAACGGATTGGTACGGGATATTCAGCATCTCGTCTTTGTCTTCATCAAGTCTCCGACATTGCTTCTGGTTCAGCTTTACGTGTCCGGCTAGAGGAGTGCTCACTGTTTTGGCTTTATCCATGCTGAATCTCTTCATAATCTTCTCAATATACTTCTCTTGACTCAGCCACAACAGCTTCTTTTGTCTATCTCGAAATATCTTAATTTCGAGAATTCACTTTGCAAGGTCGAGGTCCTTCATTGCGAAGGACGATCTCAACGCTTTCTTTAGAGCGACTATCCTCGAATTTGTCATTCACTATAATAAACATGTGGTCAACATATAACAACAAAATCAAAAAATCTTCGGCCTCATACCTCTTCACAAATACGCAGTGGTCGGCCTCTGTCTTCTCAAACTTATGATCAGCCATGAATTATTCAAATTTCTTGTACCACTGCCGAGGTTCTTGCTTTAAGCCGTATAGACTCTTCTTCAATCGGCATACCAAGTCTTCTTGTTCTGGAGCTCGGAACCCCTCAAGTTGCTCCATATATATCTCTTTTTCAAGGTCTCCATGAAGGAATGTCGTCTACACATCCATTTGTTCTACCTCGAGGTCAATCAAAGCCGCCATGGCTAACACGGTTCGGATTGAGGTCATTTTCACTACAGGAGAAACAATCTCTTCAAAGTCTACTCCTTTCTTCTGATTGCAGTCTTTCACTACAATCCGGACTTTGTATCTCGGCTTCTAACCGCTTTCTTCTTTCTTAA